CTTATTACGCTGAACTCCAGTTACAAAATCGGTAGCTTACTCAACTTATTGTTTGTATTCCAGTTTGCACTTTCATTTCTAGGTGTAGATACACATGACGTTTTAGTAGGAAAAATTAATAATGTTGGTGACAGATTAAAGTCGTTAACTTATGCATTCTTGTGATTCACATCAACTGACCCACCACAACCAAACCCCACAAGAGCAGAGTACATATTTTTTGGGTCTTGTATCATTCATCTTTAATGCAGATAGTGAAATATTGTTGGTCCTGTTGCAGAACACCACCTGTAATTATCAGAGTGAAGCCCAAACACTCAAACTATTAAAAACAACAAAGTACGAATGCAATAGAACATGGTGTCTCTTGACTATCTACTCTCAATCAAACCATAGCCATAGAGCTGAGTGGTTGAAAAACGCTTTATACGGGACAGGAAATTTAACCCAGTTAGGTAAAACTGATGAATAATTTTTGGTGTAACAAATTTGGGGATAGGCACCGACACTAGAAACATAGTTCAATCCATGATATGAAAACTCTTTTTTTCTCGTGTCTTTTGTCTTTTTTCTTCCCCTGAAAATCTGTTTGGTGCCAACTTACATAGCTTTATTCTTAGTTGATGTTGGATAGAATTATTTCTCTAAAATCTAAATCTAATGTAATGCACCGTTTGATGCTAACTTTGTACACCTTAGGGCTCATTTGGTAACTATTTCAGTTTTTATTTTTATTTTTTTTGCTAGAGAAAATGAGAGTGAGGATGAGATTAAGAGGAGATGATGGGAGAAGAGTAACAAAAGTAAAAACAAACACTAGAAAATGACAATTTCAAATGGATTTCAGTTTTTAGTTTTTATTTTCACTTTTGTTACTCCTCTCTCCCATCATCCCCTCTCATCTCCACTCTATTTTCACTTACATTCTCCATTTTTTTCCTCTATACTCTAACACAAAATATAAAAACTAAAATTAAAATAATTATCAAATAAGCCCTTATTCTGAAAATAAGAAGAATGGAAAAGTTGTATCACATCAAAGTCACAACCACATTGACGTGCAGCAAGCTGCATGCAGAATGCAGAACCAAAATGTGATATAAAGTCATGACAATCAAATTGATATCGAGCTCGAAGCTCTTGGCATTTTGGTGGTTGCATTGTCACCATGTCAGAGGGTGCAATGAACTGAAGGGTTGTTGCCAGCTAATTTCAACTCTCCCATAGGCTGCAGAGACTTTAGGCTTTTTGATTTGGAGCAGTTGGTTGTTAGTTTTATTTTGGTTTGATACATAGGCAAACATAACTCGTTAAAAATACAAAAAGAAAAATAAAGAATGATTGGCATGTAAGTACAGTTTGCTAGTTCGAAGATAAAGATCCAAGTATTTTCCCTTTTCCTTCTGGTTTTGGGTAATGAATGAGTGCACTGATGATTAATTTGTAGGCCCTTTGGACTCATGGTGCGTGAGAGTAAAAGGGCACCTAAATCTAATGCTTTCATTTCATCAAATGGTGTGAGTCAGCCAGCTGGTTGGTTGCATGACATGTATGGCCAACACCGAATAGTGTTCATCAATGCCAGCAATATGCAACTCTCGGTGAAGTGAAACTTTTCTATTCCCGTTTCATTGTTCCTTTTTCTCTATACCCATTTTCCTTGAAACTTTTGGTGAAGGAAAACTTCCCTACCTCCGTTTCATTGCTCTCCTCATGTCACCTATAGAAAGAGAAAAGATATATAAAAAGAAGCGCAATGAAACGAGAATATGGAAGTATTTCTCGTCTTTGTGGCCCTTGTTTGTTGCTTCACACTGATTTTTGACAGGACTTGTTGTTGGCCCATGCTTGATCTTGGGCTCAAGTTTAGGGACCTAAAAGCCCATAAAATGTTTGTGTTACACTACAAATTCATAGCACAACCCAATATTCTCAGAAAGGGAAAAAGAAGCCAAATCCAATAAAAGCGATTGCTTTGGCAATTACATTGGTGGAGGCACAGCGTTATAGCAATGCCCAGTGTAAAAGTCTCAAGAAACTATCACGTACCGTTTCTATTCAAACCCAAGGTCATACCCGGTTCTATTGAGGACCCCATCAAGCTTTTGAAAAAGGCAGCTGATACTAAGAACCTACGGTTAGGCAAAACAGTCCATGCCCATCTCATCATTTCCAGTGAAACTTCTAAATTCCTTGACATATTTCATGCTAACTCTCTCATCAACTTATATGCAAAATGTGACCGAATTACAACTGCCCGCCATTTGTTTGAATGTATGCCCAAGAGAAATGTGGTATCTTGGACTGCCTTGATGGCTGGCTATTTACATAAAGGGCTGGCCTTGGAAGTTCTTGGCTTGTTCAAGACTATGGTATCTGTGGATAATTTGTGCCCGAATGAATTTGTTTTTGCCACTGTTCTTTCTTCTTGTTCTGGCAGTGGGAGAGTTGAAGAGGGAACGCAGTGCCATGGCTATGTATTGAGGTCTGGATTGTTGTCTTATCAGTATGTTAAGAATGCACTAGTTCACATGTATTCAAGTTGTTCAGAAGTGGAAGCGGCTATGAGGGTTCTGAATACTGTGCCAGGTGATGATATTCTTTCGTATAATTCGGTTGTAAATGGGCTCTTAGAACATGGGCATGTGAAGGAAGCAATGGATATTTTGGATATGATGATAGGTCAGTGCAAGGCTTGGGACAATGTTACATATATTACCATTTTTGGCGTTTGTGCCCATCTTAAAGATTTGAGATTGGGTCTGCAAGTTCACAGCCAAATGTTGAAGACAGATATCGACTGTGATGTCTTTCTAAGTAGTGCAATGATTGACATGTATGGGAAATGTGGTAAGGTTTTGAATGCATTGAAAGTTTTTGATGGCTTGCAAACTCGGAACATAGTCTCCTGGACTGCAATCATGGCCGCTTATTTCCAAAATGGGTACTTTGAGGAAGCATTAGGTCTATTGTCACAGATGGAATTTGAAGATATTCTTCCAAATGAATATACTTTTGCTGTCTTGCTTAACTCATGTGCAGGTTTGTCTGCACTAAGACATGGAGATCTATTGCATGCCAGTGTTGAGAAGTCGGGTTTCAAAGACCATGCCATTGTGGGGAATGCTTTGGTCAATATGTATTCAAAGTGTGGCAACATTCAAGCAGCAAATGACGTGTTCTTGGATATGACATCTCGAGACGCTGTTACCTGGAATGCAATGATATCTGGATTTTCCCATCATGGGCTTGGTAAGGAAGCGCTGAATGTGTTTCAAGATATGTTGGAAGCAGGAGAGCGTCCTAACAATATTACTTTTGTTGGTGTTCTCTCGGCTTGTGCTCATTTGGGTCTGGTGCAAGAAGGATTCTACTATTTGAACCAGCTAATGAAACAGATTGGCATTGAACCCGGACTAGAGCATCATACTTGTATTGTAGGGCTCCTCAGCAGGGCTGGACAACTTGATCAAGCTGAGAAATATATGAGGACTATGCCAGTCAAGTGGGACATTGTTGCCTGGCGAAGTTTGCTCAATGCTTGTCATGTACATAAAAGTTATGGCTTAGGTAAGCAAGTAGCAGAGGTTGTTGTGCAAATGGACCCTAATGACGTGGGAACATATACACTATTGTCAAATATGTATGCCAAGGCAAAGAGGTGGGATGGAGTTGTGCAGATCCGGAAATTGATGAGGGAAAAAAACATCAAGAAAGAACCTGGGGTGAGCTGGGTAGAGATAAGAAATACTACCCATATCTTTGTTTCGGATGATAACATACACCCAGAGTCCAGTCAGATACATGAAAAAGTTGGGGAATTGTTGTCCAAGATTAAATTATTGGGATATGTGCCAGATATTGCTGCAGTGCTACATGATGTGGAGGATGAGCAAAAGGAAGATTATCTTAGTTATCACAGCGAGAAGCTTGCAATAGCATACGCCCTCATGAAAACACCTACAGAAGCGCCCATTCGTGTTATTAAGAACCTCAGGATATGTGATGATTGCCATGCAGCTGTGAAACTTATTTCAAAGGTCACAAACAGGTTGATAATTGTTAGAGATGCCAATCGATTCCATCAATTTCAGGACGGTAAATGCTCTTGTGCAGATTACTGGTGATAATGATGAAAGTTTTAATAAAGTGGATTACCAGAGAAGGAACTTACATCTCATGGGTCATAGCCGTATAAGCCTCCATGGCAGCCATACTGAGCATGCTGTGCAGAGGTTTATGCTGTGTAAGTATATTAAACAGTTTCTTAAACAGCTTATCATACTCCTATTTCGGTTTTTGTTGATGGTTAAGTGGATTTTGAATGAGTTTCTACCTTTCAGGTTAAGACATCCAGCACAGAGGCTTTATTTAATCACCTAATTTTGCTCCTAGAGTCATGCAAAATCAAGTATAATGTAAAGGCAGTTTCAGAATATAGAGCGGGGACTAATTTTTCTTCACTCTACCAACTATAGCTCAAACTTGGAGCTCAGGTACTTTGTTGTATTTTATTGCCTGTCAGCTTATGTTGTATACTCTAGTCTGTCAAGACAGCATCAAAGTTTCTTGTATAGCATCTCTCAGAAGTTGGTTCTTTTGTTCTTTTTGATATGGTATCTGATGATGTACGTCAACTTTTCTCAGCTAGTAATACAGTATGGGCATGCTTGATTTAGTACGTTTAAAATTCATTTTTCTGTATTGAAGGGTGTTTCTTTGGAAAGACTGGATATAAATGTTCCTCAGCTGTAAAGAATTCATTCACTTAATTGCAGGATTTGCTTTCTTTTTAATGCAAGATAATTTCAAATAGTAGTAGTGGGGTAATATCTCCAGTGCAATTTTTTGAGTAGTTACATTTGAGGGCGTTCCTCAAACGAAAAAATATATTTGTAATGAAACTTACACAGAGACCAAGTAGTCTGTTGAAACTACTGGATAGAAAATGGCCGAAGCTAACAGGGTGGTAAGGTAGTTTGACGTCAGTATTTGGTGCATTTTTTAGGAGAGAATAAGATATGCATTCAAATTTGTCATTAGTAATAATTGTGAGAAGACTTCTTAAAAGACAGAACAGAAATGCATGATAGAAGGAAAAAATGAATCAGTATAAGCTGGCCTCCATGAACTTCACGAATTCACTGAACTCTATCCTTCCATCTCTGTTTTCGTCGAATGTCCTGATCATTTTTTGGCAGTCTTCTAGCTTTGATCCTTCCTTTAAGCCCAATATACAGAGAACTCTCTGCAACTCCCTTGCATCGATAAACCCATCTCTGTTCTCATCAAACACATCAAAAGCTTCCTTTACTTCCCCCAAGCTTGGCTCCTTCTCATCAAACAGCCCTGCAAGTTCATTGGAACCGAACGACTCTGGTAGTTCCTCACTTTCTGGACTACAAAAAATTCCCAAGTTTCCCATCACCATCTTCACATCATGTCTGCTCAAGTTTCCATCATCTTTCCTTTTGCAGATCAGCTCCGGCTTCCTCAACTCAGAATCCAAGTTCTTCACATCCAAAATCTTTGAGTTGCCACAGTTTTGTTGGGATTGGAGAGTAGACTGAAATGTTGAAAATAACTTCTGAGTGCTACTAGAAATTGTGCGTAACAAGATTGCATCAAGCAAAAGAAATAATGAGGATGTATTGTCATTAGTTGATGATGATATCTTCTCCATTGTAATAGAGCAGTAGAGGCTGAACATGAATGTTGATATTTCCACTAAGAAGCCAAGTTAGAATTCTCAACTCTATGCTATGTGATAGAGCTGGAAGAGATGAAAGAATGTTTTTACATTAAAGGTTTGATGTATGGAGAGATGAGGGTGGTGTTTTATATAGGCCAAGATTTAGTCTTGTATTTGAAGCCACCACCAAACTGGTCAAGCCCCAAAGTTGGGGAAGGTGCTTGTGAACTGCCTGCCACAGGTCTTTAGGAGAAATGGTTGAAAGTAGATGAAGAAATGGTCACCACCTGAACCATTTCCTAGAATCTTAAGAGGAAGTTTCATTGTTTTGTTGGAGGAAATGTGGTGGGGTCAGGCTGGCCTGCCTTTCTCTGGCTTTTTAATTTTGGTCTATGAGGAAATTGTGCTGGGACTCTGCCGGCTGTTGACTGCTTAAAAATCAATGAAAAACAAAACAAAAACAAAAAAAAGATCTGAAAGTGAGTTTCGCAGAAAGTAAGATTTGATAGTGGGCTGCTCTTCTTGGTCCACTATTGCAATTCATTTCCCATGCACTGATTTTTTTAAATATTATTGTATGCATTGCCAAAGTGGGCAGAGTCTTTTTCTGCATATTTTATGTCTCCGTCTGCTGGGGAAAATATATGCTAACAGTCAATTGTAGGCTTCTTAGGAAAATTCCAAGTTCCCTATTTCTTTAGCCAAGCTTCTTTATTGGCTTGGTAAAAGCTGAGGAAATTGTCATTGAGTGTTCCCCCGAGATTTGAAGTTTCAAGCCTTTCCCATATTGGTCGTTCCACATTCCCCACACGTTATTGATTCTTGCGTGCGAGAAGGGTTGTCCACTAGTTGTAAACTTACACGTAGGGTAGGGTTGTGCGGGTTTAAGCCGCCTTTTCATGATGGGCCTGGGCCTGGGCATGGCCCTGGCCCACTAGTTGCATTGGGTTCCTACGGAGTCCATAATACTCGATGATATTATCATGGGCCTTGAAAGCCCAAACCCAATCACAAACAAATAAGCAAACTCTTTCCACTCCGCCAATTTTCAAGCCCATTTATCAAAGAATTATACTCATAGGATGGCAGATCATCCAAACATAAATGTAGCTAGTAGACATAACATATCATAGATGCTAGATATGCAAAGAAGTGTGTATGTTCTCTTGCACCTAAATTTATTCAATCTCCATCTCCGTACATTAGGGTAGTTTAGAATATCTTTTTGTTAAAAACAACCTCTTCTTTTTGAAGTGTAGGATCCACCCTTAAAACCAAAAGGTTTCCGAATTTGTCTGCCAAGATTTTACAGTATGGAAATTCAAGTGGTCAGCTCCAAGATCATTGTCGATGGAAAAGCCAATGCGTGTAGATAACACTTTTGAATGAAATCATGAGCAAATTACTTTTGCTTTATAGCATTTCTCTTTTGTAGACAGATCCTGCTAAGTGTAGGCCCTGTTTTTCGATAAAAGAGGACAATATTATATGAAAAAAAAGTCTCCTCTTCTGTCAGGTAGGGTCGTGCACACTTCTTCTTATTATTTCTTTATCACACCTCAAACTCAAAGTAAATGGTGCCCATGTTGTCAAATATCCTCGTTAAGGGTCCTTCCTTGTGGCAAGGTCAACTATTTTTATATTGTCGGTCACGTTGAGGCCATTCATCATTATCAGCATGGAAGGTAAAATTGAATCATTGTTCAAATACACTATAAGTAGCATTTTCAACCAGAAAGAGCTTTACTTCAATCAAATTCAATTAGCTTCAAATGCCATTGAAGGTAAAATAAGCTAGTAACTCACAAAACCAGGTATTTAAAGAACATCTGACATATAATTCTATGTTAACTCACAAAAAACATATTGTCAAAATGCTGAAAAAAAAGAACATGATAATCAGTAATTACCATTCAGAACTACAATATTAGAGAGAGAGAGAGAGAGAGAGAGAGAGAGAGAGAGAGAGAAATGCAACATAAATACACTTGGACGAAGAACCTGAACTAAAATGCTTCATATTTCACCATAAAGGTGAAAGTAAGAAAGTGAAATGAAAACCAACTGACATGACTTTATTCCTTGCAGCAAATTGGCCATTTTAGTTAGGCTGCGGAGGAGGGGTAAAGATATACCCTGTTCTGGGGTTAACATTTGGCTCTGGATCTGCATAATCCATCACTGTGATCATTTTCCTGGGTTTTCCATGCGTTTCCTGGTAAACAAACAGAAAATTGATTACTGGGCCACAAAAAGAAAAGGAAAAAAAAAAAAACCCAACACAAGTGAAGGGAAAAAGAATCTACCTTTGACACTAGAACTGAAAAATCTTCAAGATCAATAGTCCCCATCAGGTTTCTCCCAAATCCTTAAAGAAAGAAACAAATGAATCAAAGTCAGAATTGGTTATTGGGAATTCAAAAACATGAAATGGTGCAATAAAACAGTAGTGATGTTACAGTGTATCGCTTACCATGAGAGAAACAGAGAGCCAGAAGGCAAGAAACTATGAAAACTCTTAAAAACCAAGGACGCCCCATAATTTCCTACACAATTATGGGAAATGGGTAGCTCTCAGAATCTGAATATGAGGTGTGGTTTGATGAGATTTGAGAGCTGCCGAAAGGCTGGGACTTTTGAGTTTCTAGGAAACCGCCTTCCTTAAGCTTCAGATCTGATAACAAGTTAAATGCCGTAATTATAAGTTGAAAACAAAACAGATTTTGCTGTAAAGATAAGAGCCAAAGGCCCCGGATAAAAGTGTAAAGCGTTGATTGTTTCAAGAATCCTATTTATACTCAACCACCTGACACCAGATTATATATAGTGCCTGAAAAATGTAGAGGAAAATATCAGATTTTATATGGAGGATACTTTCGATGATGCCGATAAGAGATAATTCAATGTCCCCCAACTGTTACCCATTACACTTTTTTTTCTTCTATACTCTTATTAATAATAATAATACGCAAAATGCTTTTATCAATAAAAATACAATTTTCTTTTTTCTAATTGGAAGTATGTTTTCCTAATCAATGGGATCTTCTAATTGCCTTTTATGCATGTTAGTGGTTTTGAACTCTTGTTTAGAGACTGTTCAATTATTATTCATCCCTCATTTGAGAGTTGACTTCTTTTTCTGCTTCAAGGTAGAGTTAGTGAAGAAAGTGTAGATTAATTTACTTATCTTCAAGTTGTATAAATGGTTCGATTATATCGATATCATCTCAATATGATGTCGATCGATATTGTTATTGCGTTAAGCATTTTCCAAATAAGCAATGGTTAAAAACAGAGCTGATAGTGACTACCACAATGTAGTGATTGCATGTGGGTTATTTATGGGTCTATTCAGTTCACACGTGTTAGCGCACGGTAATGCTGCCTGCCTTCCAAATTTTTAATATCTCCAGCCCAGTTGCCAAGGCTTCTTCTTTCTTCTTTTAAGCCTTTCACTTTCTTTAATCTGCCTAACAAACAAACAAATGGTGTATAAAAAAGGTGGAAGCCAAGCCATTGGTTTTCTCACCAATAAAAACTCTGTATTTCTTGCTTTTCAGGCAAAGTGAAGCTTCCCGTTCCCTCTGATGAACCTGTCACGTGGTATTTCTTTATTCCTTCCTTTTATTTCCTACCTCGTTCATTATTTTCTTTTATGATTTACCTGCTGGCATTTCAGAAAAAGCATGGCTACAGAATGGACCTTCTATATTTGTCTAGCCATTATTTTGCCAGTTCTGTTTTTTTGTTTGATACTCAGTCAGTTCCACTGTTGACTAGAAAGTCACTGATAGTTACAATTTTGAATTTCCTCATTGATCTGATTTGTTTTGCCCACTGAATACTGGAAGGAGACACAGGGGTGTGGAGAGCATGAATGATTAGGGAAGCCTAATTAAACCATGGGAGGGAACAGCAAAAGAGAACTTCTCTTTTAATTAAATACTAATGGATGACAGTCAATATGCACTCTCTCTCTCTCTATATATATATATATATATATATATATATGGTTTGGACTTCTCATTAGCTTAATGACTTGGTTGGAAAGAAACCAGGCAAAGTATAACCCTAATTTACTTGCAGATGGGTTGACCTTTTAAGTCTCAAATCCCGATGATCTACTATAAAGCTAAACCCTAATTTAGTAATGTGAAAACTTGTCAAACCAAATCTGTTTTTTCAGAGAAAATGATGAAATCGATTTTGGGGTTTGGTTCTCTTTGTTAACTATAGCAGGAGGCTAAGGAGCCGATTAATTTTGATAAAGGTTATGGTGCAATCTGACATTAATTATTTATTTCGAATACGGGCAATAATCTAAACTACGGTATCTAAACTACGGTTTATAAGTCAATGTCATTTTCTATTGGGTTAGATCCCGTTGACTTTGACATTATTTATTTCATACATATATGAAGTGGCTATTATATTGGTTCCCCTAGATCTCTTGCATACTGAGTCTGGACAGATCACAAAATTTTCCAATTAAAAACGAAGAAATCCTATAGGGTTTAGGAACTAGTTTAGCATCAGATTAGGAAACAGTGAAGGAGAACCACAACATTGGAGAGGAGATTCATTATGTTTGAATTTGATTAAAGGGCTTCTTCACAAGGACCAATCAAAACCATGCAATGCATCAAATTATTGAGAGGCCAGAATTTAACGATGCATACCTTCAATAAACTCCACCGACTGTCTAGTTGGGTTTGTATTGGCTCAAATTGACCCCCAACTTCAAGCAGATTTCCCTTTATGCAATTAATTGCAAGATGATAAAATGACAGGACAAAATCCAGGAAAGAGAGGAACAAAGAGGCTCCATGGCTTCTTCACATGCATTGGAATTTGCGCCCCAATACCAGCCAACTCGGGCCATCCAAAACTGGTGGCCAACCTTTCTCCAATAGAAATACCACAAAGTATCACTCGGATTTTGGTACATGATCTTAATGTCTTTTACTGCCTAATCAGTAAAACGTGACAAAAATTACTTCCCAAGTACAAATCCAACAATATGGTTTGTTAGTTATTCATGAAATCTGCTTTCCTTTGCTTTTCTATATTGCATTCGAAGATGGAACTTCTTTTGCTGATGGCAATGGCATCAAAAGATGAACATGAAAAAAGCAAACAAAGGAAACAGAAAGGAAAAGGCAACCATTAATAAATGGAAAAAGGAAAGGCCCAAACTTTATGATCAACTTTCCAGCTTTTAGTGATTTTTGGTTTGAATTCTGTCAAATGGAAAGTGAAATGTACTTGCTCTTT